ATTTCTGGAATGAAAGATGCTATTGAAAAAGCGCGTTTCGTTGTGCGGACGTGAGCGATTCTGAGGCATGCGGCCATGATTTTCCTAATGGAGAACACAGTGAAACGCGGAATTTCGATCGGACAAATCCACTTTACTATTTTTGTTTTTAGGTGTTGTTTGTGATTTTTTTACATTTTGCATTTACATTATCGTTTTGTTCTTTTTTGTTTTCGTTGCGTTATAAGTACACTCCAACTTTGGGATATACAAGAACGCGCTATTGCCATTGATGAAAGGGGGAATCCTCACATAAGTTGTCAGAAGGTAGGAGCTAACCTTTCAATACTGCTGTCATCACTCAATGTGTGTCATTTTATCAGCATTATGCACAATGCAGTGTAGTCCTTCTTCTCTACTTTTCCGGCCATGGAAGCTCAAAGGCCCGGTCCACGCTGACGGTATGGGCCTAGAGTAGGGCGGGTACAAAAACCTTTGTATCTTGCCTATTAAAGCACCATTCTTCGGGGTCAGTAAAGCGGAGAGCCGCACTAATGAGGAAGCCAAATGAGTTGAGTGTTTCTGCCGTCGCCTCTACCGTTTTGATCAGCGTGAACTGTGCCTTTGAATTAAAGCTTGAGAACTTTCGAGTTCCTAGAGTTCCAACATGTGTGGTTCAAAAAGTAAATCAGTGTGGTGTACATGAGACCAGCTGAACATGCAGCTGTAAATTCCATATATAGCCACTTCCCAAGAAAATGTCTGCCCCCCTGAGAAGGGTCTGAATATAGATTTCAGACTGCGGGACCATCTGTATTTCGATGTTACCGAAACCGAGTTCGATTTCTTTCAGTTAGAATCTAGTGATCTCTCCATAGAGGCAGTCGTCATCCCATCATGATGAGAGTTCTCTGGAAGTGAAGGTAACAGAGTCGTTGACCACACTAGCTCGTTCCGCGAAGCATGAAGGCAGCCTGAAGTTTTTGTTAGCCCTGGTCGGATTGGTGGGGGCATCGGGCGGCGCCAAGTTTTCTCTATTGAAGAAAGAAGAGTCTTCTTCTCATTTAAACAAGATTTGGAAGAGTAAATGTTGCTAAGCTTCTGAACAACGCCAATCGAGTGTACGTCATGGGCCTGTGGGGAATTTCCTCTCGATACTATTCCCTCCTCAACATCCGTCGAGTGGACGAAAGGGTTGAGGGAAGGGGCGGAAAACAACGATGATAAAATTACCAGTTAGCTGAATGCCACCCCCACATGGATGTGGATTCCTCAGCGATGAGGTAGATAGCCCCAATCTATCCACCAAATCATGTTTTTCGCTATTTTCACCCTTCTTTCCCTTCGAGGAATGCGAGTTTCCTCTCCGTGTTAATCGATTTTTTTTGAAAAGCTGATTTGAAAAAGCAACACGAACTGTTTGAGGATCAGTCTAACATGAAAAAGATTAACCGAGCACAGGAAAGATTGCCAAAACCAAAAAGATCACGCACTGTGACGGTGGTGCGGCGCATTACTTGCTGCAACATTAATAGTACTAAAATTGCCCTTATCTTGCTGGTTTACTACGGGCGCCCACCGCCGACTTTTGACCTCACTAGAACCGATTCCCTTCAAAGACACCCACAAAAAAATCGACTACCACCGCCCATCTCTTGGAATTCATTCGCTGGCGACTCTATTCAGCCGCAGAGGCCTAATTATGGCTAGGAATTGTTCACGTTCCCAGGCAGACTCAGAAAAATGTCGATGCTATTTTGTGTTTACGCACCAATCCACTGCAATTATTGCCACAAGTTTAACGCTTTCATATGACGCTTAGCTCCAGACCATTCTGAAAGCATAAAGTGGTCCAGCGCTAATTACCATTGCATTTGCCTTGAGTAAGATAGGATTAATGAATTAATATGTTGATGTATGTACGTTAATGTTTTCCCACGGGTGTTAAAAAGGGCAATATTATTGAGACCCTTTCTTTCTTCCCCGTAACATTTAACTCTCCTCATTCGCTTCATTTTTGTGACCTTCATTTGCTTTTGCTTGTTGGTTCGGACCTGATTCAAGTACGGTCGTTTTCCATGTGTGAGGTGAATTGGTTCACTACAGCAATACCGTGCCACCTTCTCCCTTAAGAGATGCAGCACATGAGTTGGGCTGAAAGTAGTGATACTTAGTGATACTCGGTGATGTCCTATACTCCATCCGCGCTATTCTGAAGGGGCAGCACTTGCGTAGATACCAAGGTCCCGCAGCGAAACACGCACTTAGCCGTAGAGAACAACCAGAAGTGAGAGAGTTTGGACGTTTAGCGAGTTTGGTTATGGTCACGCGTGTCGTGCAGGCGAAGTGAGACGGCATCCGGGTATCACTACACTCCAGCCCGGTTTCCGTGCACCTTTGACAATCTGGCATGTCAAAAGCCAGGATCCACGGAACGATGGGTTGTCTTGTCTTTAACTTGTAAGGGGTGTCTTTTCCCTGATGCAATTTCGAAGTGGGAGGTGTGGCGCACGCTATAAAGGCATTGGTCCAACGCTTAACAACATAAGAAGGCTCCAGTCCCATTTGTATCGCCTATAGTTTGCCTTGCAGGCTTGCCAGTTAATCCTCAACTTCTATGTTCCTATCCTCTCATAAAAATCAGAGAGAGAGAGAGAGAGAGAGAGAGACGAGGAAGTCCGATGCAGGGCAAGGAAGAGGTAAGTGCAGGTGGTTGTAGACCCTCCCACCGTGACTTCATCTCTCAGTCCACAGAACATCATAGACATATTTCTTTCATTCCACTCTATCATCATTTTCTTCCCATACCTACTGACAGCCGCGAAAAAAAACCTGGAACAAGCTTCGGAAAGACATTTTTATCTGTTCTATTATCTACTCTCTTCTTGTACACCAGTATCAGTGTCAGAAGATGGTAATGTAACGTTATAACACAATAATATTAGAATTTTAGTTAAGCGGGGGTAATGTAGTGACTAGTGACGCTACTTACCACAGGCGTGGTCTGGGGTTCCAAACGGCTCCCGTCCGGGCCAACCGAGCTTTGCATATCTGTATTGAAAGCTGATTAGTACTAGACTGTTTAAAAAGACAAAAATGTTGACTTCTATGAGGGTGAGGGTTCTGAGAGGGATAAAAGCGGCCCTGGTGGCGTAACGGATAGCGCACTCGCCCGGAAAGCGTGAGGTGCGGGTTCGACTCCCGCCTGGGGCACGACTTTTGCCCATAACTCAGCATTCTTGTGATAACGTTGCCAACCCTCTGAGTGTTGGGATGTTCATCGATATAGGCGATCATGGTTAGCTCGATCATGGTTAGCTGTCACCTTGGTCCATCGGAAGAAGGAACACACCCATCTGAGTGTTCGCGTTGGCAGTCCTCCTCCCACCCACCCCCAAAATGCATAAATCAATTCAAATTTAAAGGCCACCGTGACTCTAAATGTGACTGAAATGCATGCGGCATCCAAAAAAAAAGATTCACAGAAGTGAAGGCTCTCGTCATGAAGCTTTTTGGTCCAGTATTGCTTCTCACCGTTTCGCCAACCCTCTAAGTGTTCTTCGACGTAGGCGATCATGGTAAGCTGTCACCTTGGTACATCGGAAGAAGGAACACACCCGTCTGAGTGTTCGCTTCCTTCTTACTTTACTTTCGTGCAGCTCCCAGGACACCAATGTTCTTCCCAAAACATTAGAAACTTTGAAAACAAACGCCAAATGTCAAAATGGAAGCGGCGTGCCCCATCGTAGTAATCTTCGAAATTCTGTACCAGCAACGGATTTAATCAACCTACCATATTTAGAATAGTTTTTCTAGGCGCACTTAATTTGAGCAAGCTAAATTTCGATGTGCAATTCGAAAATTGTAAGTAAAACTATTAAAAGAGCCGGACCGGGCCTGTACCAAGTTTTTCCTTTCGCGGCTGTAGCGAGCCCGCGGCTTCAGATTTCACACTTTTCAACCTTTTTTCACATTTTCTCTCGCATTATCCTATTTCTCGACCCTGTCGCGCTGACGAGCCCGGGATGTCTAGACAATGATGATTCGTCTGCGATAAAGGGCGAAACGGATCATCTGTGCTTTGGAGTGTATTCCTTTTCCAATATTTTGTTTTTCTTTGCTTCGAATTTAGATGATTTGTCGCATAAATACTTGTTGTAGATGAAAATCATTTGTACATATTCAAGTGCGGAACCGAAAATCTATTTCAGAGCTGAATCAAAGGTATGAGGATATCAATGCTAACACCAAGGCTTCGATGACGCCTGGATTGCTCGACCTTGTACGCTAACAACAGGACAGTCTTCCGTTTGAAGTGCGAGTTGCAAGTTACTTTATTAGATTATTCAAGAGGTTGAATTGTTAGATCTGTGGGTGAGCTTTGAAAAGCTGCGAAATCTCCTTTTAGCACTTCCATCTGAATGGACTATTTCGAAAAGTGGAGCTGCAAAGGGAGAGCACATTTTTCTCGTAACTAGTAACGTAACTCGTGAAGTAAGATCGACTTGGCTATCAGATAATGTATTGCCCAGCTTCGTTAGCCATTTTTACTCTTGCTCATATAAATGAGGTCGGGTGATGTCCGCTGCGAGAGGCTTCGCTGTGATTTGTGAGAAAGAGGCCTTTGATTACGCTTGCCTATACGAATGCAGTTGGAGCAGCTGGGAAAGGAATAAGATGGCAAAGATGGCAGAGCACATCATAGCATTCCCTTCTCTTGGGGAAATTTTTGGAAAAACGACCTCCCCCCTCCTCGAGATTTCTTCCCTGGTGCGACCCTCCTTCCGTCCTCTCTACATCTCACTGTCTTTTCCTACTTCCTACCACTTTCCGGAGGAAAAACCAAGCATCAGGTAATTCAATCAGGCCAACTGCTACACGCCTCCTATCCTTCTTCGACGGAATACGACCCCACGCTGGGGATTCCCCAACACATGTTGTGATCTGGAGCAGAACAGGGAAACTCCTTGTTGGCTTATTGTGGATGCTGACCAAGGCTCCGGAAACCTAAGCCAAGGAGGATGTTTGTTGCTGCCCTTGTCGATCGTCAAGAAGGGCTGATGACTAGTTTGTCGAAAAGAAACCAGGCTAGAGGTATCTGGCATACATTTTGGTCCGATCAGGGATAGGATAAACAGGAGTTGAATTCATTGAACAGTTTCTCAGATTTCCTTCGGAAAGGGGAGGACTTGGTAGGCTATACATGACAGAAACCAGCTGTTGAGTAGTATTCCCTAGTGATTCTACCGCGAAATAGTTGAGCATCTTAGCAGCAAGTGTAAGGCTGCGTTCATACTTTGCGGCAGCGTCCACCAGCGTCTACCAGCGTCCACCAGCGACCACTAGCGTTCCGAGCGTCCGGCAGCGTCAGCGACTAGGAAAGTATAGATATCGATCTAGCGTCTGCCAGCGTCTATCAGCTGCCAGCGTCCACCGGCTACCGGGCCTAGAGAGTATAGAAAGTAGTAGAGTACCAAACAGCTGCATTAGGCGCCGTGAAATTGCAGCGTGTACAAACAAACCGCACAAGTGCTGAAGCACAGAATTTGCAATTTGATGTACGGTGTTGAGTAGTTGTGTAGTGTAGGTTCTTCCTGCGATCGGTTGTTTCGGAGGCACCGTAGGCAGGATTTATCGCAGGACGGACTACTGGATGGCAATGGGGCTGGAGGACACCTGCAAACGTTGCTTTGAGTGGGGAGAGGAGCCCTGTTGTCTAGGGCTGACGTGGTAATGTTCTACCACTCTAATTCTAGTGCAGGCGGATTGTGAGGGATGATCGTTGTTCAAACGCGCTCGTCGTCTCCCAGTTAATCACATTCTCCATGTCAATGAGGCGGCGTGTCTGACGTGTCCACAAAGGAATTAGAGGACAGACTGAGGTTTTGGATCCCGTTTCGGAAAGCGGAAGCTAGCTAGATTACCAGTATTTGGGCTTTTGAGGCAGAGCTTTTATGATTGGCAAAAATGCATAGTTGTGGGATTTTTACAAGAAACAGAACAGCGTCCAGGGGTGATCACAGTAACCATCTTTCCCGATTTTTCCTCCGCTCAGAATGTTTTTTTGGGGTTCTGAAGCGAGAGCTCTTCAGAACCTTCATGTGTGTATGCAAAAAGCAGCTTAAGGCAAGGAAGAAAAGTCCCAGGTAGAGACCATCGGCTAGAGGAGTTGTATCCTATACTTTAGAAGCTAATCGGAATTATAAGTTTAGGGAGAACCAAAGGACTGTGGACATGAAGGGGATTTCATCGAACCTAACCTTTTTGGTATTTTTATTTCTTCAGAGCTTCATTGTGTTTTGGCCCACTTTTTTACTGCCCCATTCATCGAAGCTCAGGCCTATTCTAACCGAAGCTATTCTCCTTTGGTAAGGTTGACCGAAAATTCACTAAAGTGGATTTCATTGCATAAACTCGAGTATCACTATGCTTGTATAGAAGTGCTTGGCGCCAATACTGGTTCCTAAATACCCAAATACCAAAGTAAGCCGAAAAATTGTCCATGGGGTTATTCGGCCCTCTGAACACGAGTAAAAAACTAGCCTGTTCGCTCTCGGGGAAGATATTCGCTCAAAATGCGGCAGGGGAGGGTGAAAATTGTCTGCAAAGCTTCTCGAGTTTTTTTTCACTAAGTGGTTCTTT